ATTAAAAAGACTCCAAAGATGTGAAAGAATAAGTGAGATTCTACTACAAAATAGAGCAGTAACAAAAACACTGTCATATTGTTGCCAAATTTCAGTTAGAGTACCCTCATACTGGGTGCTATTTAGCTGATTGCTGAACGTGAGGTCAAGAGGGTTAAGCAGATTTGAGTTTAGTATATTTGCTTAAACTGTTGCTCTCAGGAAGACATATTGCATTCAATAAGAAAGATAATTTATTTTGAAAAATGAAATGGTGGGTTGAATGTGCCAATAGTTCAGTCATTCTTTACATCCCTCTGAAATATGGATAGCTCATCTATATGTTAGGTCCCCATGGCAGCAGAGCTCATGAATTAAATGTGCATTATTACCTGAGCACATGTACATTTTAAGAACTTGGTGAAATTATCAGGTAGGTGAAAAAAGTGTTAAATAAAGAATGAAGCCACTTCCTTGCTTTCACTGGTTTGAATCTTTTTTTTTTCCTTTTTTTTTTTTTTTCAGAAGGGCTCTTCCCTTCTTTTTTGAACATTCATCTAAACCTTTGCAGTGTGCCAGTATAAAAAAAAATAATATTATGGAACATTTACACAATAAGCCACTCACCCATCCTGTCATTTTCCACATCCCCATTGTAATTATTTGAAATCCTTATGCTTGAAGACGAGTTTTTCTCCCTCCCAACCCAAATTCTATTTTCGGAGTAGACTTGTAATTGTGTGTTTGTTAATATAGCTGTCTGTTGCCATGAACAAAGTGAGGTCACCAATTTTCTATTACAGCTTTGCCACAGGGTTAAGGACTGTAAAACAGCCACCATGTACTTGAATGCACTATTTTTTGGTTTATATTGTTTTATTTTGTTCTGCTATCAATCCAGACAATATCTAGGGTAAATATCTGACATGAGCTAACTCATGTTTTGATGGTCTGGAGTTATTCCTAGTGTTAAGAGTTTGTATGTGACTTTTGTATTTAATATTCAATTCTCAGATGTTCTCCATTTAGGACTTGGCAAGAACTTTCCTGGAAATGAATTCAGAATTAATGCATGTGAAGCATTTTTTGAAGTCTTATTTATCAAATTCAGTGTTATTTGCTATGAAAAAGTTCATCTGATTACAGATGATGTTATATTGTAGTATCCAGCACTCAAAATATTTATAATTTGATTTTTTATTTATGCATTTTTAGAACTTTAATAGAATCCATACAGATAGCTATAATTTATTTTATTAGTACACCATCAGTGCTGAGGTTTATACTGCCATTACAGTTTCTTCTAACTCTGGTAATTCTGTCCATCTGTCTTAAACTCTTAGAATATTTTTTAATATAATTTGTATATCCCAGAATGGATGAATGAATTGAAAATACGAGGCAGATTCCTAATAAAAACTGTCATGGCTGTGATTTAGCCAGCCAGTTATGTCATTATGGCTGTGACAATTCAGAGCAGTGAAAGGTTTGGCTCCGAACATCTGTACATCTTCAGTACTTTATGTCCTTAATAAAGACATTATTTATAACTTGAAACTAACAGTTTCAACAAGGCAAAAGATTAACACAATCACCAACAGGATCGTGTAGAGAAAATGAGATTTATAATATGTAAAGCTATTTCAGGCATTCCTGCCCTAAAACCAGCAGCATTAGAAAACATGAAAAATATGTATAATTCACACCAGATATCGTTTGTTGATTTCTCTGAGGTTTCTCCGGTTGCTATAATGTAGATATTTGTTCTGAAGCCACTTTACACATCTTTTGGCTTTGTTGTTTGTTCTGTGTGGTAATAATGTGAGAAAAAAATGTTTGGTTGCACGCTGAACGAAAAGACAGTTAACCCTCCTGTTATGGAAAAAAAATATTAAAAAATTAAATAGAAATATTTTTTAAAAGAACAGTATGAAATCAAGAAACTGTGTGGAGATGAGTTTTTCCATGTCATTTAGGTGCTGTGAGTGTATAAAAACACATCCACCTTTTGTCAAGGTGTCGGGAACGCTGAACACAGCAATTCCAGCACTGCTCAGTGGAGAATTCAGCAATTCAAGGGTCCCAGGGCAAAAACTGAAACCCAGCAGAAGTGAAACTGACTTTACGCACATTTAAGGGCGTTAATCTGAGTGTATTTGCTGCCGACTCTCTCGTCTCAATAGGCTGCTCCTGCCTTAGCAGAAGCCAGAGCTGCACTTGCTACGTAGAGAGTTCAAGCTCTCTCCTCCCTGGTTTCAGTAGAGGCGTAAACCATGTTACTTTACACACGGTGCAAGTGAAAATAAAAAAGAAACTGGGAGATCTAAAGAGTGATCTGAAATTTAGCGGTTCTCATTGTCAACTTCTTGATTATGTATCCACTCAGGAAATTATTCCTGCTGAAGACTGTGCTTAAGCCTATTTGAACACATGCTTAATTTTAAGCATGTGCCAGGAGACTTTCAAAATCAGTATCTTGCTCTCTGATTGAATTTTTAATATCTTTTTTTTTCTACGGACTTTACAGTATTATCAGGTGAGGCAAACAGCAGCATTCTGCACCAGCAGTCCACATACTCCTAGTTTACTCTTCAGGTAGAATTATGTACTACCACGACACTGGGAAATACTGTTAGTATAGCAAGAGAAAGAAATATTTACTGTGAACACTGTTCTCTTTGGTAGTGTCTTTTTCCTGACTTCTGATTCTGTCAAAGCAGCGTGTGGAGCATGGGTTGTAAATTGAGAAGGAGGGATTTAGTACAGTCAAGCCTTTAACTCATGGTCTCATGATTATTGGGATACTTAAAAATCTCCTGTCTTAAAATTAGTGGGAATTTCTGTTTTAAAGTGATTTCAAAATTATAAATGGAAAATTCCATGCAGGGACAAAGTGGTATTAGTAGCAATGATTTATTCAGTACATCTGTTTTAACATCTGATAGCCAAGACACTAGAATGAATAAATGCTTCAGATTTGCTTATCATCAACGAATCTCTTAACAGCCCGGCAGAAAGCAAACCACTTTGTTCTCTTATTTTTACAATGCATGAAGTGTACTTGCACTTAAAAGCTGATGCTTTTTATTGTAACACAATAAATTCACCTGCACAGAAGCTGGTAATTCTTTGGCAGGTATCGATAACAATCTTAAAACCATTTAGAATAGGTGTAAATCTCGTAGCTATATGCCTGATGCTTGTTTCCTCATTAGCAGAGGTGATTTGAAAGGCAGATGTTCTTCTTGAAAATCTGAGATACACCTCTAAACTCCCATATTGTTTGTACCTACAGATCAAATTAGAACTTCCTCCTATTGTCTTTGCCGTATGTCCCATCGTCCCTAATTGACGCATATTGTATAGTCTACTCCTTTCAAAGAAGGCTATGGCGTTTTCAAGATGAAACTGTTTCTAAAACTAAAAAATGGCCAAAATCCAAAGATTATTATCGCCTCATCCATTCCTCGCAATGTTGCATGAGAGAATTTTCCATATCACAGGCACACTTTCCGTGGTCTTTCCTTTGATTTCACACTAGCAAGAGATGTTGTTATGGCACTTTGTTATGTTTGAGACTAACTTGTAAATTTTATTTAAGTTTTAAAAAAAGGGAATTGTGATTCAATGGCTATGACTTGATTTGAATGCTTTAAGTATCAACAGGGCTGGAAATCTTAAAAGTTATGTACTGCATTGTGAGCTTTGGGATGAATACAGGGAATATCCCAGCTTTTTCCTTAAGAAATCATTTTTTTAACAAAGCATGTATAACAATGTTGAAGGGAAATTTCTAGCTAGCTCTACTCTAATCACATCAATTCAACCCTTACTTTATCACAAACAAAATCTTTTCTTTTCAAAAATAATTGTGCTAATTGCTGGGAAACATGAATGATTGGGTGCATAGAAGATTTTACAAGTCAAATGAGAATAAGGCCAGATATATGTGGATTAGCTAAGTTTTAATTGACAATCATTCAGGCATTATCTCTACCTTTGTAACAATACCAAAATAAGAATGTAGCCAAAACAATTGAAATTGACATTTTTATACTGAGGGGAAATAGGTTTTTTATGAACCATCAAATTAATCTGTGGTGTTTGTTGCCATAACTGTCCCAGAATATAGTACACTGTTTTTTTCCTTAAAACTAGATTAGATATTTTTTTATGTGTAAAATAATGTTTGCAATTACATTATATCTGCAGGATAAAAATGATCACAGTTGCAATCTTCATTTTTTAGGTCATCAACCAATCACTGATTTAATAATTCCAGAAGTTGTGGGGAGGGAACTTGGTTTAGGGAGATATTATTCCTTAATTATCAATAATGCAATTTCACAGACTTCTCTTTGATGTCGTAGAATAGAAGAGACTACACAGCAGTATTACAAATGTGTGCACCTAGAGTCTTTTCATGGACAATATAGTCTATAGATTATATCATCTTCAGTTCGTGGGTATGTTCCATGTATTGATGATAGGAATAACAAATACATGTATTTGTGAGAAAATCTTATCTGAGTACTGGAACAGTTTGCCTGGGGAGGTTGTCGAGTCTACCACCTTAGAGATATTCAAAAACCATCTAGACCTGGGGAACTGGCTCTAGGTAGCCAAGCTTGAGCAGAGGGTTTGGACAATGTGAGCTCCAGAGTTACTTCCAGCCTCAACCATTCTGTGATTCTGTTTCTGTAATTCTGTAAGACAAGTGGTCCAGTAGTTCTAATTTCTAAGGTTCTAATTAGTGGTGACAATGGCTTCTTTTCTTCTCTACAGCTATTTTCTTTAGTCTAACAAACTTTTGCTTGCCACAGGTTTTATTGATATGTACACTTCTTTTTTTTTGCCATGCAAAAAAAAAAAAAAACACCTTGAAAGGATCCCAAAACGTAGAGCTATATTTATGGTTGGGAAACAGTCTGATGTTTTTTTCTCCAAGATTTAGAGACGTTAATTCTAATGAAAACAAGCAATTTAATTTAAATTTAATTGCATTCTCTACTCCTTTTCAGGGTGCGCAATGATTTTGATGTACTGACGAACCGGTTGATCGGCAGCCATGGCTATTGTACTCAGGTACGTTAAGCGTGTGGTCTTGGGGATGTCATATGCCTTTGCATGCAGAGCTGTGAACTGACCTAGCAGTCCTAAAAACATCAGAAAGAACCTGTAAACTCTGAGTCCTTCAGGAGAAACACGAGGCTATCAATGTGTGAAGTGTTTTGAAAATCATACATCAAGTCCAACTGGCAATACCAATGTTATTCCCGTCTTTGGGCATGGTACTTTGGACTATTTTTTCTGGAAATTTTCTTCTTGTTCTTTCCCCTCATGTTTCTTGACATATGTTATTTATTAATATCGTTGCACAGTCTGCTGCTAGATATTATTACATGCTGTTACATCCTAGCTGGCCCTTGTGGGATCTTGTGCTAAGCAAGATGTCTAGTGCCTGTGTTCCTTGAACTCTATGCACACTCACACACTCACACGCACCTTCTCACATGTATTTAGCCTCTGACACACCCATACTTCTAGTTCAATTGGAGTGGAAATAATCAACAATCTGCTATAGTTAGTATATTAGTGATATGGACCAGATGTGAAGCCATATGGGTGAATATCTCGCTGAATGAGACTTAAGTTCATCCAGAAATAATTAGTGAGAAAAAAATAATCTTGTAACAAGTCTTGTCCAACATACAAAATACATCACTAAACACATGCAGAAGTATCAGATAATACTGTACAGGCTTTTAATTTATATGATTCATGCTGTAGCTTCCATTGTAGAGAAAAAGGGACACCAAAATGTTTAGTTAAAAAAACCACCAACAACAGTGATATGAGAAGGTTGAGAGTTGAATGGAAGAGTAAATTGATTATTAGCAGTTTGCCTCTGGAAAGATGAACATTGAAAACTCTGCTAATATTTCCTCATTTTACTTTAGGAATAGAATTTCCCCAAAATATCTGGAAAAAGTATTGTAAATAATCCTAATCCTAACTCTAAATTTAAAGCCACCACATAAATTAAGGATCTGGTACACGTATAACTTTATGAATTCTGAATCAATATTGTACTTATGTCTGGTAGAGACAGGACATTTAACTACTACTTTGGATTTTGTTATAAATATGTCACAAACAGGAACTGGTGAACTTGCTTTTGACTGGCAAAGCTGTGTCCAATGTTTTCAACAATGTGATAGAGCTGGACTCTGGAAATGGCAACATCACGATTTTGAAAGGTATCACAAGCCGCAGTGATATCGGTTTGCTGTCTCTCTTCGAGCACTATGATGTTTGTCAGGTATGCTTTCCATTCTTCTGATTTTAGTTAAAAAGGAAGCAAATTTAAAGTTGTCTTGGAGTGAGCATAGCAGCTAAGAAATTATGGGCTTGATTCAGTTGCTCACTCATAGGCATCTAGCGCTGTTCTAAACACATCAAGGCAGTGTGGTCTCCCTTCTGGATGAAGGTTCTCTCTCACAGCTGCCACCCCTTGGTAAATGACTTGGGTGATCTACAGCACCTCAAATCTTACATGTCTGTGTCATTTCCTAACTGATCTCCTGAAGTGGGAGTCAGTTTACAGACTAACACACTCCTGTTAAAGTGGCTAGTGTATAGATCTGTGTAGGTGAACCAGGACCTGCTCAGTGCAATCTGTGGAGGTGAAAGCTGTTCAGGTGAGTCAACATAATAGTGTGCTCTAGGTTGAGCTGAACAAGTTCCCCTGGCTGTATTCACTAGATCTCCACTGATTACAGTGGAGTTGAGACACCCAGCTTGCCTGTGGATACCTATATCTTAGTAATATATATAAGCACCTGAATCTGAAGCTCACTCTAAGTATTCAGTTTTCAATGAGTTCCGATGTTATGATTGAATACTCTACTCCATGCCCTAATGGTGATCATATTGTATTAGCAGGAAAGAAAATAATAGACAATTAAAATAGCTGCCAGTATAATGTAAATGTTCTCTTTAACATGTCTTGAAATTAGTATTTTAATTCTAGTCGTAATGAAAATAAAAAGATAGATTAAGCATTTCAAAGAAGTGTCAGCCATTAATTTACCTCTGGAAAAACTTGTATAAGGATTTCACTGTTTCTCCCTCAACAGACATTGTTGTCACCATGGGCATCTTTCCTAAAGACATGTTCTATCTTAAACAGAGAGTCTGGTGTTTGATGCAGGGATATTATTTTAAATTCTCCTCCGTGTGTTAGATACTACATTAGATAATTGTAACGGTCCCATCTGGATTTGCAGTCAGTGCCTCTATAAAAATTTGAAAGTGATTAGCAAAGAATTTGTTTGTACTGATTTAATATAAATGTGTGACTGAAAACAAAGCTTGGTTTTAACTGTTTCCCATATGGCTGAAGTCAGTTACATTTTCCTACTGCTGACAAATTATAATTTTTGTTATTTTTAATTAACACAATCCTTTATATTATCCACAAGATTATAATAAGGCTTCACAAGATTATAATAAGGCTTAAATTCAGTCAAGACAGCATATCAGTGTATCCAAATCAGATTAACACATAAAAAAAATTGATTAAAAATGACTTAGCTTCTGTGTCTAGTTCAAGCTCCTTGTCTTTTTCTATAAACTATGTAACATTTAAAACCTAAAAAAATGATTATGCACCGCTGTAGCATTTTTTCCGTTCTCTAGTGAGGAAAATTACTTCTAAGCAGCAAAATGGTAAGTGATGTCAGTGCAGGTAAGAGCTATTTCTTTCCCATCTGCCCTCTAAAAATAAAATAAAAAGTTTCCCAGAGAATCAAACACCGTCTTCCACTTATTCTGCAAATCATACAGTTGAGGGTGTCTGTCTCCTCTGCTGCTGTGCTCCTGCATGGGGGCTGGACTCATGAGCAGTCATCTGTTTTCCAAGCCAGTGACTCTTAATCAGTTACAGAAACTCCAGTAGAAGTAGTTTACTTTTATTTTTCAGTCTACAGTAGTGAGGCAACTGATGCAAATTGTCTTATTTTTGATGAAGAACATCTGTGAGTGCTCTGCGTTTCAGTTGGTACGTCCGGGCGCGTTCTGCAACGCCTGCCTTAGGACTAGAACAAAAGTCAGATTCTGGTGGACTTTGCCCTCAGGTCTGGGAAGTTTCCACTGTGGCTTCTGCATGAAGGGCCAGATTGCGCTTTATGTTACAAAGACATTAATTTAGAACATTTTAGAAAAAGAGAAATGTCACTGATAGTTTGCACTAGTGAAACCGAGGATGAAATTGGCCTTTAAAGTCTTTTGAACTGACTCTTTTCTTCCTCTCAGTGTTTGGGTAAGTAGATTCAGCATCCAATTACGTTGTGGCTATGAGGATGGTAACTGAAACCGGTAATGGAAAAGGACTGTCAGGTTTTGTTGGGTTTTTTTGTTTGTTTCCAAGGGTAAGAAAATCCTGAGCGTGATATATGGTGAATCATAGACATTAGAGTTGGAAAACTCCCTTTAGGTCATATCCAGCCAGTCTCTCAGGGGATAATTCAGGATATTTTTATGTCCTGTTATATAGTGGGCTTTCTTTTAAAAATCTGTATCCATGAGGTTCCTGCCTTTTTGTTCAGATGGCCACTTATTAGTTGATTTTAGTGCATATAACTGTCATCTTACCTTTTTTCTCACGTCTTCACTTTAAAATTTGAGGAGTACAAATACAGATTTGCAGGTACCTGCGAATGTGGAGACTTTAATATCTACTACGCAGCTTGTGCTTTGGGTGGACTAATATTAAATCTGACTGTTCATTGACTTAGTTTCCTCTGATTATCATTCTCACTTCTAATCCAGCCTGCCCCCTAAACAATTCATCCCCATCCGCTAGACATTTGCCAGCTGATGTAACAGTTCCTCCCTTTTTCATCAGTACATCCTGTCCAAAGCTTATTTTTGTTGCTCTGCTCTAGACTTCTTCCAACTTACCAATGCATTTAGGAAGAGACACGCAAGATTCCAGGCTAGGTGCAGTAAATCCAAATAGAGAAGGATTTCTATACCATTTTATCTCCCTTGTCTGATCTGTGGAGTATTTGTATATAATCCACAATTTCCTTGGCATGTCTTCCGAGTTGAGAATATCACGAGGGCATGAGAACTGAATTAATCCTTCTGTCAAACTTCAACAGTAGCAAATCAAAACAAAATGATTAGTACCTGTTTTTCCCAGTGATCGCCTGAGGAATCATTCTTGTTGCTGATCCAGTGATCTCTTTCAGAGGATCACGTCGAATGCATTTATCTTGGCTGACTGGAAAAATGTGTGTTTCTTGTAATTTGTCTGCAATTGTTAATGTCTAATCATCACTCTTAGTCCTAACGTATCGCCCTACTCAGCATATTTTTTTTAATGTAACTACTTGCTGCAAATCATTTCCCTATGACAGATGGATTCATTCAATCTATTTCATATGCAAAAATTTAGATGGATTCATTCAATCTATTTCATATGCATATGTTTCATAGTGAGATTCCGTATTTTGATGCAAAAAAGCTAAAAGTCCAATTCATTTACTTATCGGTAGGCAAGTTACAAATCTTTGGATTTCTTTTCTTTGTGCTAAGCCCATATTTAAGCTATTCTAATTCCATCTGATTTTACACATTTATCTAAAAAGCCTAAACTAAACCTAAGATTTTAGGTTTTCTGGAATTCCTTTAGAGCTCTTAAAGCAATAGAAACATTTCTGAAAGCTGGTCAGCCCGCATAAAATTAGTGCAGTTTTTCTTCTGTTTGCTGGGCTGCAGCATCCATCAGTTTAGCAGCAATCTCGGGGAAGCTGAGTCGTGTCTGCAGCAGGGACAAGACCTCGGAAACGGGGGTGAGGCACAGAAGTGGGCAGGGACAGTTATAGAATTTGGGAGTGAGAAAGTCCCTGCATTTGAGTCAGAGTCTTTGGTCTAAATGCCACATTAAAACTGCAGGTGGAAAAACTTTGAATGATGACATGCTCTTTTCAAAACTTTTTGTGATGCTAAAAGTAGAAACAGATGGAAACAGATGCTCTTATATTTATATGAGATCATTTCAAATACTAACAGTCACAAAAGGGAAAATTATCCTACATTCTCATCTGAAGAATTTAAAAGATGCTACTATTATTTATTACTATTACTACTACTATACTATTATTACCACTATTATTAATAATGATAATAACAATATCTAGCATTTACGTGTCTATGCCTATGGATGGATCTGTGCTTTGCAAAAGTTAAGTATCATTACCATTTTACAGAGGGGGTGACAGACAAACAAAAGTCAAAGTGCTTGTTCCAAAAAGTCATCCAGTAAGCTACTGGCTGAACTGGGAAGAGAGTACAGGCCTTCTGAATCTCTCATTCCAAATTTAGTATGATATTGGCTGATGAATTTGGCCATCCTTGTGAAATGCTTTTTGAAACCACTTTAGGTATGTGTTGTTGTACACAAAGTAATGGAAATATTCAGGGTTATTTGTCTCTGGTGAATCTTGACTCTGATTCTTCATCTTTGCTGATTCTCTCCTGCTTTTAACCTGCCCTGCTGTAGTAGTTAATCCTCCTGTCATCTGACCTCCCAAACTCACCCTACTCTGATTCTTGACGATCTTCAATCTCTGCCTCAGCTGTCAGCATTTGAGGAGATGGATGGTTTTTAGTGTTTGCATTTCTGAAAATGAAGAGAGAACGCGGCGTTGACAAAAAAGCTATGCTCATTTTTCCTATTCTTTTAAAAAGAAAGGGAAACATAAATAAACAGAATTTATTCATTAAAATTCCACAGCTGGGAAATATTATCTGTGGTCCTTTTGATGAAACCAGCACACTCTGTGCTATAACAAGACCTACTTGAATTATTAAATTCAGCACACATGCTCTGTCTTCTGGCACCTCACCTGTTTATTTGCCCTGTGGAACGTCCTTCCTATAACCTTCTTCGCTGGGAAATATGTCTGCTAAACAGGCGCCTTTCTCAGTCAGATGGACTGGATTCAAGCCAGGTCATTGGTAGGGTTGTGGAGGGGGAGGTTGAGAAGGAGGTTTTTAACCATCTTGTTTAAGAAACCAAAACCAAAAATATGCATGTGCAGAATGGAAACTGATGGTTGGTTTCAATTTTCCACTTATTTTTTCAGTAATGGGTATGCGGTAGATATTGTGCTGCATCTGTTGTGCCACACAGATCATTCAGCAAGGGACCTTGCTATTTATGTAAGACATTTGTGAGCACCATTGTGGGCAAAAACATGTGATACATACAAGTTCGACTGAAACAAGGCTGACAACGCGTTGGCCATTTAA